TACGTGAGTTTCATTACTTACTTCAGTCAATGTAGCCATCACATGTAATTTTATATACACTGACTTCAGTTATTTATTGAAAAATGATAGTTTAATCCAGTCCACAAATATCATTCATAGTGGTGAATTACAACCTGGTTTTCATTAACAAAATGAAGAAATATCATTAATATCCTAGATTAAAAAGTAACAAAATGATATTTTTAAAAGATGAAATAACAAAATAGCATGTAGGCATATAGATTTTCTGCAAATAAAATACTAGAAAAGAACATGCCACTGTTTACCAAAGAGACTAGTAATGTGAGAAGCCAACTTTCATTTCTATATATTGGCAATGTTTCTTTTCTAATAGATTTATATAATTTTTCTAAATTACTTCGGGGACTCATATTATTTTATTGATGCTATACGAATTGAACACCTATATTTCTTCTTCGTGTATATTGATATCAAGGGAATTACTTTCATTATATATTTTAAAAATGATTCTGAATACTAAAACAGCATTTGGAGTAGTTTACTTTAGCTCACTTCAACAAACATTATTAAAGATATACTGTGATATAGGCACTGCACAGTTGTGGAAAATTCCACAGTTACTAGTCAAACCAGGAAAATCATGCTGTTTTCTCTTATAAAAATTTACATTACTGGAGTTATAGATGGAACACACTATCAAGAGTCTGGATTTCAGCCCCATCTTGGATTTTAATTTGCATTGTAGCTTTTGACCAATAATTTAATCTTAGTTCTTCAGTCTCATTTTATGACCTATAAGGTCATTACCAATTAAAAAATGTGGTGACATTGTAAAATAATTGGTGAGAAGATTCTTTCTCATTAATTTTCAAATGTGATTTCTCTTCTGTTTTTTAATATTATATTAAAACCAATGTAGTAAGATTCTGCAAAATATTATACAAAAGTATCTGAAAAAGTTGAAAATGGTAGATATAAATGCCAATTTAATTGCTACAATTTTTTTCTATAAAGGAAATTCTTCATTATATCTGTTCGACTAGAATTTAGCATAATTAGTTAAATATTATGCTGCTTTTTAAACTAATTCCCATTGATTTTTATATGAGAAAATTGACAAAAATAACGATGTTAACACTTCTTTGATTCCCTTCCTAATTAAATCTATTTTGATTTTGTTGCAATGGATATTTTAACAACAATCAACACAAAATATTAATAGCACTGTGTTCATTGGATTATGTGCTAATTTATTGAAATTGAGTGAAACAAAATGAAGCAAATATTTTTTAAAAAGCATATCTTTCACAGTTCAAGTCTCATGTAACTATAATTAAAAGCAAAGTGTTAGAACATTTAAATTTAATATTTAGACACTTTTAAGGAAGTACATTCATTTTTTCAAAAAAACATTAAATTTCACTAAAAAAAAAAACTACTGGGGCAAAAATACTATTTCTCAAAATACATGATTCAGAGGCTTACATGAGAAGGATGTAGTCCCTGAATATAGCTGATCTTCAGGATGTACTTTTTCTCTGGTTATTTTGTATCATATGAAAATTCTATTATTTGCTTCTTATTGATAGCCACTTATATTTAGAATTACAAAGAACCACATTCTTTGTTTTTTCATTAAAGCTAATAATTTCCCTTCTTCTCGACTTTGTTTTGAAAGAATTCATTTAAGTTTTATTTGCTTACTTTATTCCTAAGAAGCTGATTCTGGCTTATGGAGAAAATGTTAGTAATAGTGTAAAAATTACATCGAAGTTATCTATAATCCTCATTCCAATAGTAAAGTTTAGTTGAGCCTTTCATATTTTGTTTATCCTGTCTCTATCTAATAATTATTAAAGAAGCACATTTTCATATTCCCTTGAAGTATTTTATAGACATAATTTTACGGAATACATAACCAAGGAGAAAACACAGCTTAAATTACTCAACCATTCAACTCATTTGGACGCTCATATTGCCTTCCATTACTTACAGTTATATATGTAGCAATGACAAACATATTTTAGGACAACCAGTTTTTTTTTTATATTTGTGTTTACAGGTTTTTTGTACTTGTTATTATTCATGAAATCTGTATTTTTTATAAGATACAATTCTAGAAATAGAGTTACAAAGTCACAAGATATGCATTTTTAAGAAGAATTATATATAATTTGTCAAGTTTGCTTTATTAATATGGGGTCTTCAGTCTATGAGGGTATAAACCAAACAATACCTTTCAGAGTTTAAGAGCTTTCTGTTTTCATAGGTAAAATGTGGAATCTTATGGTTTTCATCTGGATTTTTTTTTCTTTCATTTAAAGTCGCCAGCTGGATTAGCCCCAAATGGGAGTCAGCCTGTTCTTTGAAGTTTGAAGCCAAGCATTGACTTCTCTCTAGCTGTGAAACTCCGAGGTTACATGTTCTTCCAACAGGGAGTTGTTTTGTTTACATTGAAAGTCTGTTGTTTAGAGTAGCCATGTCATCAATGATCTTACCTTGATCTTCTGAATAACTAGTTGCAGCTTCTCCATCAGCACTTGCTGCTCCACCTTGCACTATTAGATTATGGTGAAATCTTCTTTTTTTCCTTTCTTTTTTTTGAGATGGAGTCTCGCACTGTCATCCAAGCTGTAGTGCAGTGGTACAATCTTTGCTCACTGCAATCTCGCCTCCTGGGTTCAAGAAATTCTCCTGCCTCAGCCTCCTGAGTAGCTGGGACTACAAGCGTGCACCACCATGCCGAGCTAATTTTTTTGTATTTTTAGTAGAGATGGGGTTTCACCGTGTTGGCCAGGATGGTCTCAATCATCTGCCTGCCTCGGCCTCCCAAAGTGCTGGGATTACAGGCATGAGCCACCATGCCCCGCCAAAATCTTCTTTTCTTAAACCTCAGGAAGCAAACTCTGTTAGTGTCAGACTTTTCTTCTGCAGCTTCCTAACCTCGCTCAGCCTTCACAGAATTGAAGAGAATTAGGGCCTTGCTGTGGATTAGAATTTTGCTTAAAGGAATGCTGTGGCTTGTTTGATCTTCTATCCAGACCATTCATACTCTCTTCATACTAGCAAAACACCTTTGGCTTTCATATCATTCATGTGTTCACTGGAGTAGCACTTTTAATATCCTTCAAGAAATTTTATTTGGATTCACAATTAGCCCAAGAGGCCTAGCTTCCTGCCTATCTCAGCTTTGGATATGCCATTCTCCCTAGGCTTAAACCTTTTCAGGTTTGAATTAAAGTTAGAGATGTGTGACTCTTTCTTTCACTTGAACATGAGAAGCCATTGTAGCATTATTAATTGGCTTAATTTCAACTGTTGTCTCAGGGAATAGAGAGGCCCAAGGAGAGGGAGGGAGACAGGGAACTTCCATTCCATAGAACAGTCAGAACACACATATTTCTTAAGTTCACTGTTCTAGATGGACACAGTGATGCTCCAAAACAATTGTAATAGTAAAATCGAAAATCACTAATCACAGATCACCATGATATACTAATAATGAAAACGTTAGCAATATTGTGAGAATTACCACATTGTGACACAGAAACATGAAATGAGCACATGCCATTGGAAAAAATGGAGTCAATAGACTTGTTCAACACAGGTTGGTCTCAAACTTTCAATTCATAAAAAACGTAGTATCTTGTAGTACAATAAAGTGAAGTGCGGTAAGACAAGGTGTGTCTGGACATCTCAGATTTGCTGAGGGTGCTCTTTAACGGAGTCTTCATTCTTGAACATCAGCTGAAAAGCAGCCACTGTTTGAACCATTGCAGGAAAGAAAAAGAAAGAAAGAAAAAAGAAAGAACAAAAGAAAGAAAGAACGAAAGAAAGGAAGAAAGAGAAAGAAAGAAAGAGAAAGAAAGAAAGAGAAAGAAAGAAAAAGAAAGAAAGAAAGAAAGAAAGAAAGAAAGAAAGAAAGAAAGAAAGAAAGAAAGAAAGAAAGAAAAAGAAAGAAAGAAAGAAAAGAAGGAAAGAAAGAAAGAGAGAAAAAAAGAAAGAGAAAGAAAGGAAAGGCAGAGGGAAAGAAATTATAAGGAATGTACATGGGCTTCTAAATCCTCCATTTAAAAGAGGTGCTTGCCAATTATTTTCATATTCGTTTAAAAGGCAAACAATATCACTTCACTTTAAGGAGATGGGGAAGGCTAAGACATATTTGTACACTGAAGGAGAACTGGGAATCTTAGGTGAAGTATTAATGACTAGTATTATATAACTTTCTTGACACCAAATACTGTGTATTCTCTTTCCTACATGTGGAATCTGTTCACAGTTTCCATGACAGACAATCTAAAAATTCCATTCAATCACTGGTTTTAACTCAAAGTTTAAGAGCTTAAGCGTACCTAGCATTTTCATCATCTACTTTGCATATAGCCACTCTGATCTGGAAATCTATGAACTAAAAAATAAAAAAATAGAAATTAGATACCCTGCACATTCAATAAGAAATGATGAAACTAGGGCCAATGCAACTGCAATGAACACTCCTACTTGGAAAAATGTGGTATGGGGGATCATAGCAATTCTGACATTCCATTTGACATTGTGGAGATGAGTCATCACTTTGGTGGTAGGTCATATGTCTTAATTAAGTTCACAATCATTTTCCTCAGAGGAATTCAGTCTATAATTGTTCATGTTCCTTTAGTCTCTGCTTATGGAGATACATTTCATTTTTCATCGTTATTATTTTCCACACTATGTGAGCATTAGAGAATACTTTCTCTTTGAAGAGAACAGTTTTCTTTGTCAGCTTTCCTGCTGTTGAAGGCTGGGAGTTCAACATCTTTTGAGTTCTCAAGCAGTTATAAATATTCTTAGTTGTGGTTTGTGAGTTACTTATTAACTTATTTGGTGGTGTAATTCTATTAAAACTCACTTGGCTGCTTCTTTGTTTTATTTCATTGATCTCCGTGTGCTAAAAGCTATATCCAAAGCTTTTATTAGACGAACTTCTTAAATTTACTACATTTATTGCTTTCTTTCCCTCATGCCGTTTATCACAGTTTATCACAATTGGAGGTGACTTGACTTTTTGAGATTTGGATTTGAGAGTCCCATATTGAATATCTCTCTATGTTACCTCTTTCATTAAAAGGTTTTACTGGGCTTCTTAATTTGGTTTCTGCTTAGAGACATCTTAATTCATTTAGATATTTTAATGATGGGACTATTAATTTTAGTATTGATTAAATATTTGTCACAAGGCTGAGTTTTAAATGGCTTTGGCATTTAAACTTTTCCATTTCATTGTTTATCGTTTGGGGCTAAAGAATCCTTACCCCTTCCAGCCACACAAATTTCTACATTTCTCTACTTTATTCTTTTTTATTTATTTTATTAAACCAAAATCTTCTTTCTCAAATTTCCTCTTTTTATACTGCATTATCCGAATGCAGTTCTATATATCAATACACAGAAATACCATTCTACTTTGGAATCTCTCCCTATAGGTACAATACTTTTTTTTTTTTTAATACTTTAAGCTCTGGGTTATATGCACAGGCTGTGCAGGATTGTTAACATAGTACAGGTACAATTCTTTAGGTATAAGGTCTGCTTCGCAAATGAAAGAAGGCAACAAATTAACCAAATCTTCTGCCATATGGATTACCACATTCCATTTTGCAACATCTGTTTATTCTCTGCTTTCCAATTCAGGAGTAAGACAGTGTCTCATTGTCTTAGCAGCACCCCATTAGTGGTATCAGTCAAGACAGTCCAGGTTATGTTGTAGCACCAAAGAATCCCCAGCAGAGACTTATTTCTTACTTGTGCTTTGTGCACATCTTGGGTTGTCTGAGGTCTCCATTCTACTCCAGGTCTTCCCACAGTGCCCAGAAAGATGAGGGGGGGCTATGTCTGAAGCCTTGTAAGGTACTAAAGTAGGAGGAAGGAGACTATAAAATCCTCCTTTAGGTTTTACCTCTGGCTAGAGGTGGTACACATCACTTTTCTCATGGTTCATTGACCAATACATGTCATATAGTCACACTTTAAAGTGGTAGAAATGAAAAATTCTACCATGCACTTCAAGACTTTAATTAAATGACTACCAAAATAACAATTTCAATAATTACTGGTTTTAAAGTACTTTTAAAGTTGGTATTTTATTTTGTTTACTACTATCTTCTAATATTCCATGATAAGTAAATGTTCTAATATACATGAATAATTACACGAATTTCTGAGTGATAGTTAGCAATTTTATCTCTCAAATTAAGACAGAACACTTAGTGTATGTTTGAAATTGCCTCTCTGTCTGCAGTGGGGTTGGTGTTAAATATTCAAATGTAGAGGGAAACTGTTTACTTAGATTTTTTTTTAATTGTAAAGATTTTCACCCGTTTTGTAAGATTGACAATGCTGCAGAAGAATTAGAAAACAATATGTTAACTAGGGTTTAGCTTTCAAATTTTATGCGTTGCATATTCATCAGCTCTTTGCTGATTTTTAGTGGCACTGTGCTCTTTACTACTGTGTAACATTAGCCTGCTAGGAAGTCTCTTGTTGTAAACTAAATAAGTATGCTCTCAGAGTTTGAAACGGTCACCCTATATTTGCATACATTCCCTGACCCCTGCTGCCTCACTCATTGAGAAAGACAGAAGGACACAATTAGAGTCTTAAGAAATTCTGAAACTGATGTGATTCTGGGTGACAGATTAGCGGGAGGAAGGATAGTTTAGGTGTATCTCCTGTTTTGTTAGTTTACATACCAACAGCGTCCAATGAAATCATTTGACATATTCTCCTAAAAAGGGCACTGGGGACCTTTTGTAATCCTGTCTTCAAGTGCCACCCCTCTAGTCAGTAAAACATTTTATTGCTTATTCTGATACATAGGTGCACTGAGGCTGTATGCCTAGCATTATTTAGTACTATTTTCATACATTCATAGGCACACATTTTAATGGGCATTATGATATACGGTTAAGCGGTCTAGGTGACATCTGATAGTAATCTTGGAGTCAATAAAGGGAACAGTGTTTTAAGAAAAGAATGAGCAAACCCTAGCTGTAGGAGTAACAAAAAGAACATTATGAAAGATTTAAAAGCAAGGCATACATTTTCTGGTCCAGAAGCGTGTTCGCTAAGCAATAAAGCCTTTTCTCAACCCTATTGTAAAGATTTGTCAATGGACTGTAGTGGAGCAATTTGTTTAAGCAGATGGTGTAACACTATCATTTAAGAATGATTTTCCAAGGTTATGTTTCTCGAATATTACCAGAGAAATAAATTGAAAAATGAATATTCCTGGAGAATAAAAATATCTCTCCCATATTGCTGTTTCTCACAGACAACTTTCTCCTGTTCAATTACCTGATTAATAAGATAATAGCCCACATTAAATCATGTCATAAGCATGATCACTCTTGTTGTCTTTTATTTTGAATACTATCTTTTCCAACTTTAATTTTTTAGCTTCTCAGAATTGGTATAAATTAAATTCTCAAACATTTCTGTCAATTTCTTAATAAAATACAAGAGAACACTCTGAAGAATAATTGTTTTAATCCAACTCTTCACTGATATATTAAGATTTGTGCTTTATAATTTTATTCATAAAATACTTTTTCTCTGATATTATTTATATTCTTTACTTTTTTCGTTCATAAAATACAATATGGGTATATTAATTGTGGAACTCATAATATGTAAAAATGTCTTTTGAAATAAAGATAATGGATATTAGTATTTTATACCAAGTCGATTAGTGGAAAGTTTGTCACTTAGGGCAAAACTGATTACCAAATAAAAACACAGCATTTTAAAAAACAAGAAAATAACCATCAGTAATAAAAAATCCTGCATGAGAGTCATCAGAATAACTTAAATCGAAAAGACTGTTGAGACCAAATATTCATGCACATGGCAAGCAATCTGAACTCTCATATTGTGGTGAGAAATAAAGCTGCTTGAGAAAAAGTATAAGAAAACACACACACACACACACACACACACACACACTTAAAACATTCAGAGAAAATTTGTTTTTGTTACTAAAAACTGGAAACTGCCAAGATGTTTATAAAGAGGTAAACCTATAAACAAACTGTTGAATTCACAAAAGAGAATAATATGTAGCATTACTTCTGACACATTACATCAGCCAATACGGTGAATGCTGGCATTGTGCTGAGTGAAAAGAGCCTTACAAATAAGTAGTGCACATTGTAAGATTCTATTTTTATGACTGGAACAGGTAAATACCATCTATGATGTGGTAGAAAATATAAGAACAGTAGTGTTGGGATAGGGGTGGTGACCTGCTGGAATAAAACAAGACAGCGACTTTCTGAGGCAATCATAATGTTTTATATCTTGATATCAAAAATATACACATTTGTCAAAACTTAGCACATGCCCACTTAAGATTTTTGAATTTGAGTATATGAAAATTTTTCATTCAAAGAAAAAACTAAACAAATATTGAATTTTAGTTAATGCTTTCAAGACAGAAGCATTCAGTGGAAGTAATGGATTTCTTCTACATACTTGTATTGCATCAAAATTAAGATGAATGGGATGATACATGCTAAATCATGTAACATGTACCTTATATGTTAACAGTAGGATCTAGGTGGTTATTATATGGGCGTTCACTTAAAATTATTTCAACATTTCTTTATGATTAACACTTTTCATTATATTAAATTTTTAAAATTGGTACAGAAGAAATGTTATGACTTTAATAACTGTAATAAAAATCAAGTGAGGATTCTAAAGCAATTATTTAACACAATTTATTTAGTAATAAGAAAATGAGGGACATAGAGTGAATTACCAAGCAATAGTTGCTTGTGTAACTTTTTTCCAAAAAAAGAAAAATAAAGATTTTTCATTTTTTTCCTTATAGAATGAAAAACAAAGTCAGGAAAAATCACTTCAACACAAAGTTTCTTAACTGAAAGTAGTCAGTAAAAAGACCAAGATCAGTGTCCTTTGCATGGATATGGATGGAGCTGGAAGCCATTATCCTCAGCAGACTAACACAGAAACAGAAAATGAAACACTGCATGTCTCAGAAGTGGGAGCTGAACAGTAAGAACACATGAACACAGGGAGGGGAACAACACACACTGGGGCCTGTCATTGGAAAGCCTGGCAGGGAGAGCATCAAGAAAAATAGCTAATGCATACAGGGCTTAATATCTAGGTGATGGGTTGATAGGTGCAGCAAACCACCATGGCACCCATTTGTTTACGTAAACAAACCTGCATGTCCTGCACATGTATCCCAGAACTTAAAATAAGATAAAATTAAATTAAAAAAAAAAGCTATCACCCTAAGTTTGACACGTACCCTTCTCTGTGATGTTATAATGTATTCCATAATCTCTGCTTATACACAATACATAACATGATGTTTTTTGAAAAAAAAAAAAAAAAAAAAAAAAAAAAAAAACTTTATATAAATAGTCAAAAGAAAAAGAAAGACCAAGATCAGTTAAATAATGTTATAGTTTTGCAAGAGCTCAATTATCTGTTTCAAAGAAAATTAATAAGAGACCCCTAATTAACTTATTAACAGGGAAGCTTGTTGACATTAATCATTCTTTATGGTAACTGGACTATACCATCACTGATCAAGAGACAGTTACCCACCTAGCACAGCTTGCTGAGGACTGGTCTTACAAATTTAAAAAGTCATTCTGACTTTCATAGCTTGCTTGGTGATATGATTTGGCTGGGTCCCCACTCAAATCTCATCTTGAATTATAGTTCCCATAATTCCCAGGTGTCATAGGAAGGATCTGATGAGAGGTAATTTAATCATAGGGGGGTTGATTACCCTCATGCTGTTCTCCTGACAGCTAATGAGTTCTCAGAAGATCTGATGGTTTTGTAGGGGACTTTTCCCCCTTTTGCTCGGCACTTTTGCTTGGTGTCACCCTATGAAGCAGGATGTGTTTGCTTCCCTTTCAGCCATGATTGTAAGTTTCCTGAGGCCTCCCCAGCCCTGCAGAACTGTGAGTCAATTAAACCGTTCTGTTATAAATTACCCAGTCTCAGGTATGTCTTTATAAGCACTGTGAGAACAGACTAATACACTTAGCTTCTTATCTTATTCAATTTCACAAGTGTCTGAATCTGTGAGAAATTTCTCAATCATGTTTGCACATATGATAATGTATTGCTATTAAAATGTGTTATGCTACTAATTTTTAATAAAATAAATGATATATACTAATAATTCATTACTAATAGATTATGTATTAATATACAGTTAACCCTTGAGCAACAGGTATTGGAACCATGTGGGTTCATTTTACATGGATTTTCTTCATTTCTTCTGTCCCTGATATGGCCAGACCAACCCCTCCTTTTCATCTTTCTTATCTTCAACGTGAAGATGACAAAGATGAAACCCTTTATGAGAATCACAGATTCTCTTGTGATTTTCTTAGTGACATTTTCTTTTCTCTAGCTTACTCTGTTGTAAGAATACAAGATATAATACATTTAACATCCAAAATATGTTATTTGACTGTCTGTGTTATCAGCTAAGCTTCAGGTCAACAGTAGGCAATTGGTAGTTAAGGTTTTGTGGAATCAAAGTGAAAAGTGAATTTCTGACTGCATGGGGATCAGTGTCTGTAATCCCCACATTGTTCAAGCATCGACTGTCCAATTAATATAGTAGCTATAACTGTTTAATATTTGAGTATTTATTGTATGCTGATAAAATTCTTGTAGCATTTGGATATGTATAAATCACCACAGAATATAACTTTTATACTTTTAATCATTAATATGTCACTTTATATTACCTTTGGTGTTTGTTTTGATTCTCTGGTTTTAAAAGGTATTGAAAAACCTTAATTATAAAGTAAGTCAATATGCACAAAACTCTGTTAGAGGAAAAAAATCTTGAAAGAAAGTAGAGTACTTATTTGAGAAAAAGTTGTGAGAACTGTCTATAGAAAAGATAAGAACTAAGGAAGATGCTGGTGTTCCTTTGAAACAATTAAGCTAATTAAGCTATTATGAAATGCTAATTCCATGTTTAAACCCAGCAAAGTTTGTGTCACACAATGGAAAATCTTCTTCAAAAAATTACGTTTGAATCACTTAAACAATATATAACACTAAAAAAAGGACGGTGTTTTGTTTCTTATAGCATAAAACAAACCTTTCGAACATGTTTTATTTTAATTCCTTACTTAGCTAAATTTCTTAGAGCATTTATGAAAAATAATTTAAAGTAAACTAATATTTTGCCATATTGGTGAACTGCCCCACTTTTTCAATGAAATGACAGAAACTTTTTCTCAGGAAGATATAAAGCAGAAAAACCAACTGTGAACATCTGATTTGCTAATTTAACACATTCTTGTCTCAAGATCTTTAACCCTCACTTAAGAATGCATAATAGAGTCTCCAATTGTCAGCCTAATGATATGTTTTCCTTTGACATATTTCTGGAGGTCAGTATAGATCATGACCTTGAGCAAACAAAAAGATTACTTGGTTTTGTCATTAGCATAATGCTCAGGTCAAAGTCTCTCAGAAGAAAATGCTATTTAAGGTCTAGTGAATATATCTAAACTTGTTTACTGCATTTCAATATAAAATAGTATCACGTATCACAATGGCATCTGAAAAGTTTATATAAAAGAGCCTTAATATTTTGAAATGGTTATATGAATACAATTATATCTTGTCAAGTATTAGAGAATGATAATAAATACTATCTTCTGTTGTGAAATCAGCATAAGAAATAACGATATTTTGTGTATCAGAGATTTTGCAACAAAAATTAACTATTGGTATATTCTTTGAACAGCTGTGAAGGTGATTTGCACCTTCAAATTACAAATTAGAGTTGCCTTAAGTATGCAATCGGTAGGATAATTTTTTAAATAATATACTTGTGTATCTCAAACCTCTGATTAGGTATTTTCTCAGTTGCTAAGCAACACTTAGAAATATTTCAATCATATTTAATATTTTGAAGTCATAAGGCAACACATTGTTTCCTTCTATATTAACTATCATTCTGGCAAAGATATCGGTTTACTGTTCTACTCTGTTATTGGCTGACTAGCATTCCTGAAGGGCAAAGAATAATGAGTGGAGATCCTCTTATAGTAGATCAAATATCACATTTCATACACCTTAAATATTTTACATATAGATGCAAAAAATTTACACCTCAAGCATTTTGATCTTAGTGTATCTAATAACATCATACATGCTAGGCACTATGGGCACTATCTGTGTATTCCTTTGTGTGCAAAGAGAAAGTGATCAGGTATATGAAATGATGAGTACTCCATATTTTTTCTGGGCATTAATCCAATGACCAGATGCTTGGTGAAATCCACACAGATTTTTGATTGCTAATAGAAGCAATTCCTAATTAAGTTTCTTTAATTGGGACAATGACTGAAAAAGTATACTTACAATAGGAAATAAGAAAAGATGTACTATATTCATAGTTATTTGATTTTTTTATTAAGTTGATAAATATTCATCAAATCTAATACACGCTGAGTGATAACACCAACATGTTTGGTCTCTAATAAGCTGTAAAGACAGACGCCCCATTTACGTTTGAGAAAATTGAGCCTCAGATAGGTTTTGTAACTGGCCTGAAATTAGACTGTTAATATGAAATAATATTGAGTTTTAATTTTAACTCTGGCTTCAAATCTCAAGCACATTCTCTTCTGCTTCACTTGCACCCAATTATTCTTCCATGAGTAAAAGAAGGTTTTATTTACTCCTTTGGTTTCCTTCCTCTTTATTCTAATGTTAAAATATCTTTTCTTAGCGTAAATATTTCCATTTTGCCCTGGCTGTTCTGTGTGCTAATATTTCTAACTCTTTTTCTCTTTTAAGCTACACTGTCTTGATTTTGTACTGCTAGTATCTTGTAAAGCACTGGCTGTCACAAATATTTATTGATGAACCTTTTAAAGTATTCTCCTTATATATATTTATCTTGTCTTCAAAATATTTGTCATAAATTAAATAGTGGCAAATAGTACGTTTTGGCAAATTGCAAATATTGACACTGTAGAATAAAACTGCACATAACTATTTTAAATGTGTCTATTGAAATATAATTGATGTTTGATACTATCATTCATTCAAAGAAATATATGAAAAAGAGTTTCAAGAGTCAGAAATTTCACATTACTTATTCTCCCTTATCTTTTTATTCTACTTTCTCTCCAGAATGTTTTTCTTATAAAATATTTTATTATTGATAATGTTTTATTGATTGTACTATACTCAAACCAAAATGTGTATATAAATTATACACATTTAAAAAATGCTCTGTGATGATAAATCTTAAATGTTTCTGGATTGATTTACTATTAAGATTTGTATTAATATAAAGTTAGAGCATTTGTATAATGCTAAATATAGTTATTAAAAGAATAGGAAAATTTTTATTTGAAATGCTTCTATTAAATACTAAAAAATGGTTGTTTGATTGCTTTTAAAATTTATTTTGATATGTACTAATGAATAGTACATATTCCTTGAGATGCTGGTTAACATAAGTCCTATTTCTCTTTTTCTTTTTTTATAAGTATATGTGTTGAGAAGCATGTTTCTTTAAAGACGTAACTGGCAGAAAGTTTTGTAACAATACAATGAAACATTTTGATTTCCTCCAAAGATAGAAACGCAAAAATTGCCTGGTAATTAATAATCAAAACTTACTGTTAATGACCTACCAGCTGAAACCTCAATTAAGTATTTCTTCACTTTATTGAAAGTGAAGAAATGGAAGATAACTGGTTTGCATCCAGTTTTCTTAAAATTATTTGGTTTTTCAAACTGAACAGAAATACTTTGAAATATCCATTTGTTATGTACAGAAAGGCTTTTTGCACAGCACAGTCAAGCACTGTATTTCACAATAGTTAAGGATCTTTGCTTCTCTTGTGAAGTGTGATAAGGCAATTTTAAAAAGGGACTAAAAAAGAGTAGGATAGAGTCTAAAACAGATCAATTTAATTCTATCAGTGGAAGTTGCAAAGCCTCTAAACTATGTACTCATTCTGGAGTATCCCTCTGAAGCAGTAGTTTTGTGGATAGGTACATTCCGGTTTGAAGATCCTATTCTAAATCATTAACTCTAGTTAACTGAAGATTCATTTTAACTTTATAAATAATTTCTTTAATTTTCTGTATTATGGTCCTTTGGCATCTTAGAGCCTTGCTGACCCTGAAGGGACAGTCCCTTTCAAGGATAGCCAGTTCTGAGAAAGAGTACACAACTCCTCTGGGATGGTGTCTTTCAAATGCAAACCAAACAAGGCAGAGCCCATGTGCTCAGCCACTGCTTCTTGCTTTGTTTAGGTTGCTATTTCCCTACCCTGATCCCTCAAGAGCCAAGTACCAGACAACTAAGAAAAGATGGTGTATCCCAGAGCCTGCTGAAATCATTCAAACTAGCCAAGTAGAAGCCTGCTTAGCCTGCCTTGCCTCTTGCTTCCTGCAGAAACCACAGTAAAGGCTTGTACCCACATTTGCCTCATGCACTTTCTGCCTCTGATGGATTCTGGCGCTTTCCCAAGTGGTCAGGCGTGACATGGAATGACTCCTTTTTCTAGGAAACTGTGAGTATCATGAATTCCTAGCTATAAGACAGTTATTTTCCTACCTGTTTGTTTTTATCATACATTATTAAAACACAGCCTGGCTACCATTTAAACAGTAACTAATAAGGCAGAGGTCATTTTCTTTCAAAAACTCTGCCCCTTTTCTCAGAAAGCAGATGCATGTTGTAAACAAACGCTTATTCTTCAGTGCAGAAAAGAAGAACCAGCACTCAAAAAACTTTTTTCAGCAAGGTGATTTTACTTTCCGAAGAAAGGGTGCTTCTTGAAGGTAGACTGTTGCCACAAGAACACATTGAACAAAGAAAAGCAGATGTTTTTATTCCTGATGCATTGGGTCCTTACTGCTGTATCTTATCTCCTTTGGCTAGAGCTGGACCACACAATCTAGACTCATCCCAGCTGGCTAAAAACTTAAAACTTTCCCAAATAGGTAAATGCATGACAGAGGACAAAGAAAGACAGGGGGTCGTTTGTGGGAACAAGAAGAATAATAACATTTCCAAATATGGAAGAGGTATAGGCTGTAAGCTGGGAAATGCCTGGGAATGTTCAGACATGTCTAAGCAGGCTAAAGGCCAGGACAAATAACTTGGTTAAAGTACAAGGACATAGAATGTACTTATTCCCTTACTATATTTAACAGCAACAAGGGGTTTAAAAAACAGTTATTAGCAAAATGCAAGGAAGCTAAAAGGAAGCTAGTTTTTATAAGAAACTACTATTTCTAACACTTATTATTTATCCTTTAACAAAAAGGAAAACTTTGAAGAGGAAGTTTTTACTTTTCACACACACACGTCAAGGCAAATTTACTTTTTCCAATCCATGTCATAAGCATGAGTACTAAGCTCTAATTTTTTTTTATCTTGCCAAATTCTTATTTAAGGGGTCTGGGAAGAAGTCATGCCCTACAAATGATAAATACTCATCAGAAGAGTTTTATTTAACCCTATATGTCGTGACTCACTTTCCAATCTGACTCTGGCATAACATTATGTGACAAAAAGGAAAATTAAAATATTTTACCCCAAAACATGTTTATTTGCCATATTTTGAAATAGCCCTACAAAGCTGTTCTTTGTGAGAGAAAGTTTGCATCTGTAAAGAACCTCTATTAACATAACTAGATCTTTTTCTTCCAGGCCCTCCCAATTCTGAAGAGATTAACTGAGAGCCTAGAACTTTTTAAAGGTCTGAATAGAAAATCTTTGTTATCTATTGTCTCTAAGGGTAGCCACTGAGATTCAAAAGAACCTCCGTCTCCAAACGTCTCCAAAATCTTTGATCTTAACTTCAACATTTCCTTTTTATTAATCCCAGGTCATTAGACTAACTCAACCAATTGTAAACCCGGAAATGTTTAAATTTATCTATAGCCTGGGAACACCCCCTCCCAATTTTCCCGCTTTTCTAGACCAAACAAATGTATTTCTCAAATGTATTTGATTGATGTTTTATGCCTCCATAAAATGCATATAACCAAGCTGCACCCAACCACATTGGGCACATGTTCTCAGGCCCTCCTGAAGGGTGTGTTATGGGCCATGATCACTCATATTTGGCTCAGAATGAATCTTTTCAAATATTTTACACAGTTTGACTATTTTCATCAACAAGCAAAACATATCCCTTTTTCTGTCATATGTATCTTTTGACCTTGCCCACATTCACTGATTTACATTAATGAAGAGTTCAGTGTTGTGCTTCATGTTTTGGATACCAGAGTATATATATATCTGACTTTTGTTGATTATAAAATTTCATTGATCTTGATAATGGTGGCTGAAAGCTACCTAAAGACTGAGACTGAATTTATCATCCCCTACATTCTTTTTGGAATTCAAATGATTGAATTAACATAAAAAATACGATCCTCAATATATACGCACCCAATACAGGAGCACCCACATACATAAAACAAGTTCTTAATGACCTACAAAGAGACTTAGACTCCCACACAATAATAGTGGGAGACTTTAAAGCCCCACTGTCAATACTAGGCAGAACAATGAGACAGGAAATTAGCAAACATATCCAGGACTTGAACTCAGATCTGAACCAGGTGGACCTAATAGACATCTACAGAACTGTCCATCCCAAAACCACAGAGCATATACATTTTTATCAGAACCACATCACAATTATTCTAAAATTGACCACATAATTGGAAGTAAAATACTCCTCAGCAAATACAAAAAAAAAATGGAAATCATAACAAACATCCTCTCAGACTACAATGCAATCAAATTAGAAATCAGGATTTAAAAACTCACTCAAAACTACACAACTACATGGAAACGAAACAACCTGCTCCTGAATGACTACTGGATAAATGATGAAAGTGGAAATACGGATGTTTCTCTAAACCAATGAGAAGGAAGATACAATGTACCAGAATCCCTGGGACACATGTAAAGCATTACCTAGAGGGAAATTTATAGCACTAAATGCATGCCAGAGAAGTGAGGAGAGATATAAAATTGACACTAATGTCATCATTAAAAGAACTAGAGAAGCAAGATCAAACACATCAAAAGCTAGCAGAAGGCAAGAAATAACTAAGATCAGTGCAGAACTGAAGGAGATAGAGACACCAAAAACACTTCAAAAATTTAATAACTCCAGGAACTGCTTTTTTTTTTAAAGATCAACAAAATAGAATGCTAGCCAGACTAATAGAAAAGAGAGAATATTCAAATAGATGGAATAAAAAATGATAAAGGGTATAACACCACTGGTCCCACAGAAGCACAAGCTACCATCAGAGATTACTACAAACATCTCTATGCACATAAACCAGTAAACCTGGAAGAAATGGATAAATTCCTGGATACCTACACCCTCCCAAGACTAAACCAGGAAGAAATTGTATTCCTCAATAGAACAATAACAAGGTATGAAGTGGAGGCAGCAATTTTTACCAATCAAAAAAAAGTCCAGGACCAGATGGATTCACAGCCAAACTCTACCAGAGGTACAAAAAGGAGCTGGTACTGTTCCTTCTGAAGCTATTCCAAACAATACAAAAAGAGGGAATCCTCCCTACCTCGTTTTATGAGACCAACATCATCCTCATACCAAAACCTGCAGAGACACACGAAAAAAGAAAATTTCTGGCCAATATCCATGATGAATACTGATGCAAAAATCTTCAATAAAATACTGACAAACCAAATCCAACAGCACATCAAAAATCTTATCCATTATGATCAAGTTGGCTTCATCCCAGGGATGCAAGGATGGTTTAACATTTGCATATCTATAAATGTAATCCATTACATAAACAGAAGCAAAGACAAAAAACACATGACTATCTAAATAGAGGCAGAGAAGGGCTTCCACAAAACTCAACAGTTGTTCATGCTAAAAGCTCTCAATAAACTAGGCATGGATGGATCACATCTCAAAATAATAAGAGCTATTTATGACAAACCCACAGCCAATATCACACTGAATGGGCAAAAACTGGAAGCATTCCCTTTGAAAACTGGCATAAGGCAAGGATGCCCTCTCTCACCACTCCTATTCAACATAGTATTGGAAGTTTTGGCTAGGTCCATTAGGCAAGAAAAGAGATACAGCATATTCAAATAGGAAGAGAGAACATCAAATTGTCCCTGTTTACAGATGATATGATTGTATGTTTAGAAAAACCCATTGTCTCAGCCCCAAATCTCCTTAATCTGATAGCAATTTCAGCAAAGTCTCAGAATACAAAATCAATGTGCAAAATTCACAAGCATTCCTATGTACCAATAATAGACAAACAGAGCCAAATAATGAGCAAACTCCCACTCCCAATTGCTACAAAGAGAATTAAATACCTAGGAATACAACCAATCAGGGATGTGAAGGACCACTTCAAGGAGAACTACAAACCACTGTTAAAGGAAATAAGACAGGACACATACAGATGGAAAAACATTCCATGCTCATGGTTAGGGAGAATCAATAGTGTGAAAATGACCATACTGCCCAAATTAATTTATAGATTCAATGCTATCCCCATCAAGCTACCAATGACTTTCTTCACAGAATTGAAGAAAAACACCTTAAACTTATTAAAAGTCTACTGTAATCAAAACAGCATGGTACTGATATGAAAACAGAGATACAGACCAATGGAACAGAACAGATTCCTCAGAAATAATGCCACACAACTATAACCATCTGATATTTGACAAACCTTTCAAAAACAAGCAATGGGGGAAAGGATTTAATAACTGGTGTTGGAAAAACTGGCTAGTCATATGCAGAAAGCTGAAACTGGATCCCTCCCTTTCACCTCAAACAAAAATTAAGTCTAGATGGATTAAAGACTTAAACATGAGGCCTAACACCTTAAAAACTCTAGAAGAAAACCTAGGCAATACTATTCAGAACACAGGCATGGGCAAGGACTTCCTGACTAAAACACCAACAGCAATGGCAGTAAAAGACAAAATAGACAAATGGGATCTAATTAAACTTAAGAACTTCTGCACAGCAGAAGAAACTATCAATAGAGTGAACCAGCAACCAGCAGAATCGGAAAAAATGTTTGCAATCTACCCATCTGACAAAGGGCTAATATCCAGATAGTATGGAGAACTTAAACAAATTTACAAGAAAAAAAAAAAAAACATCAAAAAGTGGGCATAAGATATGAACAGACACTTTTCCAAAAAAGACATTTATGAGGCCAACAAACATATGAAAAAAGCTCATAATCACTGGTCATTAGAGAAATGTAAATCAAAATCATATTGAGATACCACCATACTCCAGTTAGAATGGCGATCACCATCCTCCAGACCCCAGAATGGTAGATCCATGGAAAGCTTGCACCATGCACCTGAAAAAGCCACAGATACTCGATGCCAGCCGGTGAAGGAGCTGCCCAATGCCATGGGAGCCCAGATCTTGCATCAGTGTGTCCTGAATGTGAGACCTAGAGTCAAAGGAGATCATTTTGGAGCTTCAAGATTTAATGACTGATCCACTGGATTTCCGTCCAATTGGCAGCCAGTACAGCTAGAAAAAGCAAGCAGAATTAGCAGACTTGCTGAGTCTTCCAGCCTTCATCTTTCTCCTGTGCTGGTAGCTCCTGTCCTTGAACATCAGACTCCAAGTTATTCAGCCTTTGGACTCTTGGACTTACACCAGTGGTTTGCCAGGGGGTCTGAGGCCTTTGGCCACAGACTGCAGTCTGCATTGTCAGCTTCCCTACTCTTGAGGTTTTGGGACTCAGACTGAGTTACTACTGGCTTCCCCGCTGCTCAGCTTGCAGAAAGCCTATCATGAGGCTTCACCTTGTGTGAGTCAATTCTTCTTTAAAAAACTCCCTTCAATATACACACATATCCTATTAGTTCTGCCCTTCTAGATAACCCTGGCTAATTCAGATGGAAAATGACTGTTATAAATATTTAGCTTTTCATTCAAAGTTTTGGCTTGGAGAGCATCACAGATAACCTAGTATCATAAATAATATATACATTTCTGGCTAATAGTATTTTTTCATTGGATTGTTATATCCATACATAAGTCATGGCCAATAAGTATCAGAATTTTGAACAAAATTTAAAAATAAGTATTTCAATTAACTTTATTGTTTATTGCCTAAAAGGAGGATTTTTAATTGTTAGTGGTATTGTTAGGGGAACAAAAATGAATTAAAGTCCTCTCTTCTACATGTTAACAACCATCTAGGCCTCTTCTTGTTACCAGTGGTGAATCCACACAGGTCTTCAGCAATTTATTTTTGCTTCCTTGGAGGAAAAAACTCAGCTGAGGAGCAGAAGTAGGTTTAAGGCAGAGGAAGAAACTGAGGCAAGTTTTAGCGCAGGAGTGGAAGTTTATTAAAAAGTTTTAGAGCAGGAGCCAAAAGAAGAAAAGTACCCTTGGAAGAGGGCCAGACAGGTACCTTGAGAGATTAGGTAGCCCGTGTAGCCCTAGACTTGGGATTTATACATTGGCATGGTTCTGGGGTTTGTGTTTTCCCTCCCTTGATTTTTCCCTTGGGGTGGGCTGTCCGCATGTCCTGCCAGTACTCGGGAGGGAGTACATTCACAGTGTGTTTACTGAAGTTGTGTACATGCTCACTTGAGGTGTTTTTTCATTACCAGTTGCATGTTCCTAGAGGAAGTTCTTATACGAGTTAAACTCCACCATTTTGCCTTTTAGGCGCATACTTGAGCTGGCTCACCCAACTCCTGGCACCTTATTGGGCAGCTACTGATC